TGAGCCGAAAGCAGTCGCTTAACCAACTGAGCCACCCAGGCGCCCAGTATAGGAACGATTTGCTTTAGAAAGGTTTGAAACTTTTGTGACCTCATGTTTTGGAGGGGTTTATCCTTTTTATAGCTTTCTCAATTTTATCTCTGAAAAATCAGTCTGTTTAGACCTTTTTCTTTTGGGGGGGTCACTTTAGCAAATCACTATTTTTTTTTTTAGAAAATTATCCATCATCAAGATCCTAAATGTACACAGTTGTGCAGAATAATCTATCATGTGCTTTGGGGGTAAGTTGTTAAACATGTGTTCTGCATCTGTATCCACATCTGTATTTTCTATAGACTTCAGTAACAGTGAATTTTTTTTTCTTTTTAGTGAAAAAAATAGTCTAATTAGAGGACTGATGAAATGCTGTAGTATGTATTCAAATAGGTTTTTCATTTCTGTATCCAATCAGTACATTTTTTCCATGTAAAAATTTTGAATCTGCCCCAGTTCTCTGTGACATTTTAATCTTGCAGCTGTCCTAAGATCCTCCCTATGTCCACACAAACAGGTGCTTAGTGTCTTATCTTGACTTTTTTGGAAATGTTACTTGGTGGCTTAATGAATAACTCTTCAATGTCATTTCTCTTTTTAATGACTGGTACAGCCAGGGGGCCTTTGCGGTAGCTGATTAATGTCAAGCTGGGCTTCATCATTCTCTCTTTGGGACACACAGCTGCCAAATATTTATTACTGTCTCACAGTGCTACCAAACACTGGCCCTAAACATGGGGGATGTACCGTTTACTTAAATAGCAAGAGCCCCTGTCCTTAATAAGCTGCTAGAGTTTTACAATTCAACTTTACTTAAAAAAACAAAACGCAAAAACCTCTCTCTTAATTAGAATCTAATGCTTCTTTAGAATAAGCAGATCTCCCTCTTTGTTCACTAAGGGGCTTTTTACTGTTGTACTTAGTAGGTGCTCAGATTTGTTAAGAAGTACTTTTTTTTTTAAAGATGTTATCTATTTATTTGACAGAGAGAGAGAGACAGCTAGAGAGGGAACACAAGCAGGGGGAGTGGGAGAGGGAGAAGCAGGCGTCCCGCTGAGCAGGGAGCCCGATGGGGCTCGATCCCAGGACCCTGGGATCATGACCTGAGCCGAAGGCAGATGTTTAACTACTGAGCCACCCAGGCGCCCCTAAAAAGTACTTTTAAATTATTAAAATCTTACTTGAATAGTATGGAAATTTTGGGAAATGCTTAAAATATACGGAAAATTAAATTACCTTTAATTATACTGCTGAGCTGTAACAGCAGAGGCATTCAGTGTATTTTATTCCAGTATTTTTTCTGTCATTCACAGATGTAGGGTTACATTGAATATGTAATTTCCTCCTATCCCATGTTAAAGACATGGTTTTTGGTACCTCTGTAATATTTCCTTGTATCATTTTTAATGCTTCCCTGATAGTGGACATTTAAATTGCTTCTCTTTGTTTATTTATTTTTTAAGATTTTATTTATTTATTTGACAGAGAGAGAGAACACAAGGAGGGGAACAGCAGAGGGAGCTGCAGAGAAAGAGAGGGAGAAGCAGGCTCCCAAGGCACATCCGGCTCCCTGCTTGGTGGGAAGCCTGCTTCTCCCTCTCCAGCTCCCCCTGCTTTGTGTTCCCTCTCTCTCTGTCAAATAAATAAATAAAATCTTTAAAAATTTTTAAAAAAAATAAGTAAATAAACTGCTTCTCTTTATAAATAAGATTGTAATGTGCATCCTAGGCGTATGAATTACTAACATCCCTGAGTCTTTCCTCAGGACGGATTCCTAGGAATAGGATCAGTCCCTCAAAGGGATGTCAATCCACCTACTTCTCAACTGAAGAGAAGTTTTGTTGAATTCTTAGGAGTTTGGTTAAATTCCAGGTTTTGTATCATTACCAGGAGTCCACAGAGGACCAGCCTCCGTTGGGCCTTTGCCAGTGTGGGGCCCCGCATGTGTAATGAATGAAGGGACTAATTCTGACTCTACGCCATATTCCATCCCTAACCAAAACAGCCTGCTCTGTAGCGAAATTGTTGATATACGAGTGGATATTTTTATATCCACTTTGGTATATAATGGATATTTTAGTTTAAATAGTTTCTTCTCATAAGTGGATAGGCATTGTTTATATCTTTTTTTTTTTAATGGATCCATTCATATTCTCAGTAAACTTTTCCACACCGCAGTTGGTTTCCCCTGGGCCTGCTCTTCCCTCTGCCTGCAGGGCCTGTCCTGTAGCTGTCACAGCTGCCCCTCCCCTCCCCCACGGGAGAGAGCCACCTGCCCTCCTCGCGGACTCGGGGCCGTAGGTCACTATGACGGCGCTCTGCTCGGTGTCTTCCGTGGCCCTCCTCACCCTTCCAGCTAGCACGTTTGCTGTTCGTCTCCCCCAGTAGCATGTAAGCTCCAGGAGGGCCCTGATCTTGGCAGCCTGTCCAATTCTGTGTTTCCAGCCCTTAAAACAAGACCTGCCACAAACAAAGCCAGGACATACTTGTTTAATCAACATACAAGCAGCGAACGGTTCTGTGGTGTTTGCACTGCTTATTGGCAGAGTGCTTTCCACTGATGGATCAGTGGTAAGCTTGAGTCTACTCCCGGTCCATGCTTATGTAAATTTCTAAGGAAGTTATTTTAACTCTGTGGACACAGTAATTTTGGAAGAATGTTAATGATGACGGGAAAATAACTGAAGAACATCTAAGCCAAGGTTCTCATCCTGTATCCCTAGGTCTCTGGTCTGGATTGATCATCTGTGTTTTCTTTCAAGCCCTTTTCTATTTGGTGCTCATCTGGAGGACAAACTGGAAGAGAGTTGCAGAGCAGGTAACAGCGTGTCCTTCTGGAAGCGTGGCTCTTTCTTGGCCCCGTAGCTGTAAGGAATCTTCGAGGGTCAAAATGCTAAGAATGCCACTGGCAAGCATGACTTGCTTCGATTCATGGAAAGCGTCTAATATGAGAGTTAGGGGGCAGAAGGACATCATGTTCCAGCGCGTTTTCTTCCTCGTACAGTTAGTTCAGTGTCTACTCACAAGGGCTTAACAATTATACTGATTTATTTTTAGGCCTCTTTTTAGAAACATTTTTGGTCCATGTTTTCCTAAAAAGCAGTCTGCTAAGTGTCTATGATCAGTGAGGAGTGCTTGGGGGCAGAACCATAACCTACGGGTGGAGGAACGGGATCCTGACTGTGTGGGCATCTCTCTGTGTGAATTGTGAGCTGTGTTTATTTGTTGAAATGAGATGGATGGGAGGTTGGAGTAGGGGACGTGTTACTGATGGGGAGGGGGGATGAGTTTAGTGCACAAAGCGTCCCTGCTTCAGTTTTGTCCCCTCCACCCTTCCAGGTCTCACATGCCTTTGGTTTTCCTAATTGGGTTGTATGGTGTCTTTCCTATCTTAGTGTGATCTATGGAGGGAGTGAATTATACAGGACATTCAGTTGGGCCATACATAAACCATCCTTTATATGATAACACCATTTGTCTTTAGACTTTATTCCTTATATCAGTGCTTAGAAACACTGAAATGCACAGTGTAAGAAAAATAATGTTAAATTTGCAACTGTAGGCACAAGTTGCTTTTTTTTTTTTTTTTTTACGTTATTATGGTGATCTGAGCTCTGGGGAGAATAGTGGTTGTCCAGTGTTACGTTCTATGGTCATTGGCCAGAGAGGACTGTGCTAGATGTTAGAGCGCTTTAGGGGTGGTTTCATCAGTAGCTCAGGTGAAATTTTAACAAGAGAATACTCGCCTAACTTGACTTACACTTCATTTACTTCTGTGACACTTATTCTCAGGCACAGGTCCGAGCTGGGCTGAAGGGGATTAAAGAGACCACACCATCACCAGCAGGTAACAGACAACACGGTCTAGGGCCCTTGATCTGCCTCATGAGGCCAAAACTTAATGTAGCCAGAGTTACTTAGTTTATGAGATCCTGCTCTCTTGCATAATAAATCTTGTCTCTGCTTAATAATTGGGCGATCAACTCTGGGTTCTCCTGTGAAATGTTCTTAATGTAATTTCACATATACCAGTCAATAATGGATGGTCATTGTCTACAGCGCATTCTTATGTAACTTTCCATAATATTCCTTTGTTGAACCCTGTACATAAGTGTATATACTCCACTGTTGTCTGCAATCAGATCTACCCGTCTTGGAGAAAGAAGTAACCGATGGAGTGGTTTTGCCTGATATCATCACACCCGAGAGCCAGACCCTCCAACTAATGGTACTAGAAGAAAGCAACCAGTATGCTGTGTCCACCATCGGGGGTGTTTTGACAGTGAGCCAGTTGATTTTCTATCGTGGAATAGCTCTAGCTGTTGCCATTGTTATTCTTTTAGCAGGCATTTTAATAAGGGTTTTTCAATGACCGTGGCTAAAATAGAAGGATTATCACCAGCCCACAAACTAGACAGGATCATTATTATTGATCTGTGAAGTGTGGGAGGTGACCTGGTCACATGGACAGTGGTGTCTCACTCCCCGCTGTGGGTGGAAAGGATATCAGTGATGTCTTCTTAGTTATCCCAAGAATCTGCACTATCCTCATGGAGATCAAGAAAGGAGGTAGACTTCTGAGTTTCTCCCAAACGTTAATTCTATCATGGTTTGTAAATCTGTCAATTTGATTTTCCCTGCTGGAAGTATTCTGCACTCTTATGTTGAATATCTTCCCTCTTGCAGGAAAGTTCATTGCCCTCTAAAACTGGTTGCTGATCCAGCTTTGTTTGTATTTCTCTGTTAATGTATTTACTCTTATCAGTGGGTGTGTATTAAGTGCCTGTTGAAGTCCTATCTCAGGTATTGTATAAGCTTTTATAAAATAAACACCTTAAAATTGAAAATGCGTGCTAATAATATTTGGGGCTATAAAATCTATCGAAATGCTAACTTTTAGTTTGGGGCCTTTGAACACATTTTTGTGGCAACTTGCATATTAAAAATCCAATCTGTGTTCTCTTCTGCCGCTCAGCTCCCCAAATGCTGCCCCTCCCAGCAGATTTTTAAAGCCTTTATGGGGAGTTTGATCAACCCAAATAGAAAATACTAAAAATAAGTACTAATATTGGGGATTCCCTCCACAAAGCCCACCAAGTGACCAGTGTCCCCATTGGCTTTTCATCTCTTTCTCCGAAATGGGAACAAGGAGCCTAGGATTACCAGACAGCTGTGAAAACCAGTTATACAAGAAAGCAACTGAAAAGAAACTGAGACTTCATAGGGAAAGGAAAAGGATAACCCCAAATATTGCAACCATGATCTAGAACAGGATGCTCTAGAATAAAACATGCAGGAAAATTTTTGAGCTTAAATTCACATAACATAAAATTAATCAGTTAAAGTGTATAATTCAGTGGCATTTTGTACATCTAGTACACTTGTGATTTGCTGGGTTTTTTAACTATTATACATCTGAGTGGGTATGAAGTGTCTCACTGTGGTGTTAATTTCCATTTCTTTTCTTTTTTTTTTTTTTTGTAAAGGTTTTATTTATTTGAGAGAGAGCACAAGCAGGGGGAAGGACAAAGGGAGAGGGAGAGGCAGACTCCCTGCTGAGCAGGAAGCCAGCCGTGGGGCTCAATCCCAGGACCCTGGGATCATGACCTGAACCAAAGACAGACAGTTACATTACTGAGCCACCCAGGCACCCAGAAAGTTTCTAATTTTGATGAAGCCCAGTTCATCTGTTTTTTCTTTTGTTGCTTCTGCTTTGGTCATCATATCTTAGGAATCCGTTGCCACATGATAAGAAAAAAAATTTTAAGTACTCTTGGAATCTAAAAAGTATTATGGAAGAATTTAAAAACAAAAGAGAAGACTGTGTTTCCAGTGTGACATGTCAGGAGGTTGGAGGTCATCAAGAATTCTCAATCAAGAATTCTAGAACTTATTTTTACTCTGTCACCTGTGACACCAAATGTGTGTGGTTTTTCTACACCAACAACCAGTTCTCCAAATCTCCCAACACCAACTAGAGGTCTGATGATTCCATTTAATTCTGACACTAAGTACCCAGAGTCCGTGTCAGACCCCATAAGTTAAGGGCTCGGACCCACGAGACTGACCCCCCAACTTCAGAAGCCAATTGCAAGTCCAGGCCAACCAAACTTTTTCTGACTGACCAGCTGTGAATTGGGGGTTTTCATGGCCCACTTCTTGGATTTGATGATTTGCTAGAACAGCTCACAGGACTCAGGAGAATGCTTTACATATGGCTACTGTTTGAACAGGTAAATGGAAGAGATGCATAGGGGATTAAGGTACAGGGGTGATGGTGCTCAGAGGTTTCCAGACCCTTTCTGGGCATGTCACCCTCCCAGCACCTCAATGTGCTCGCCAATCCAGAAGTTCTACAAATCCTGTTGCTTCAGAGGTTTTTATGAAGGTTCCATTACAGAGGTGTGGTTGATTAAATCACTGGCCATTGGTGATTGGACGCATCTCCAACCACTCTCCCCTTGCTGGAGGTTGGGGGGTGGGACTGCAGGTCCTAACTCTCTGATCATATGTTGGTCTTTCTGTTGACCATTCCCCATCCTGAAGTTATGTAGGGGCCCACCAAGAATAAATTTATTAGCATAAGCTCAGATACGGTTAAAAGGGACTCATCATGAATAACAAAAGATGCTCCTCTCACCCCTATCACTCAGGAAATTCCAAGGGATTTAGAAGCTCTTGTACCAGAAACTGTGGACACAGATATCACAATAACAAAAGGAGAATAGCTGAACAAACTGAGTATCAGCCACTCTTGTTAGCTCCATCAGAGAATTGAGGTCACGAGGATAACTTCTTCCCCGCAAATTGAAGAGACTGGCAGATACAGCTTACCCAAGTGGAGGCAGCAGGAGCTGGTAACAGATAGGAAAACTTAAACTGTAATTGACAGATTGCTGGAGGCTTAATGCAGACAAGCTTACGAGTTAAAAATTTCAAGGGGGGGCGCCTGGGTGGCTCAGATGATTAAGCGTCTGCCTTCAGCTCAGGTCATGATCCCAGGGTCCTGGGATCGAGCCCCACATTGGGCTCCTGGCTCAGCGGGGAGTCTGCTTCTCCCTCTTCCTCTGCTTCTCCCACTGCTCATGCTCTCTCTATATATCTCTGTGTCTCAAATGAATAAAATCTTAAAAAAAAAAAAAATTTCAAGGGGGTTTCATCTTAGGTGGGCCCCATAAAATCTCATGAGTTTTATCTTCAGGGCCCCAGTAGGTTCTCAGGGTGTAGATCAGAGAAAAATCCTTTCATGCTTCTATAGGAGGTAAGGGAAATGGAACCATTTAAGAATATGCCCAGAGCATTCTGTGCTATTTAACCAAAGCCTACCATCAAGGGAAACTATTTTACCAGAGGCCAACTACCTTGGGTTTTATCAGAACCTGACCTGGTGGGAGGGAAATACTAGACTCCAGCCCCACCAGCCTTCCACAAGGAGAAGTGAAATACCCATCTCCACCCTCTCTACCCTTCTCTCATCCTAGGGGATGGGTGAAATGGAGACTCATCCAGTAAGAGTATGAAGCAAATAGCCCAGAGACATGGGCTCTTTAAAAGACTGAGACCTTGGGCACCTGGGTGGCTCAGTCGGTTAAGCTACTGCTTTCGGCTCAGGTCATGATCCCAGGGTCCTGGGATCGAGTCCCACATCAGGCTCCCTGCTCTGCGGGGAGCCTGCTTCTCCCTCTCCCACTCCCCTTGCTTGTGTTCCCTCTCTCGCTGTGTCTCTCCATCAAATAAATAAATAAAATCTTTAAAAAAATAATAAAAGACTGAGACCTTATCATTGAACTGTAGAACACTTCCCTCCCCCACACCTTACCATCACATCAGTAGAGCTCCTGTATCCTACCAAGAGATGACAGTCAAAAGAACGACATGTCTCAAACCTCACTTAACTCTCTAGGAAAGCCCAAAGACAAATAAGGAGAGACAAAATCAACAGACACCAGGGGAAATTTTTGCCCCTGGCAGCTACAGTTGCAAAAACAATACACATAGCTTATGTCCCAGGCAGATAAACCTAAATCCTCACATCAGAAACCTATTGACCTCAGTTCCTTTTACCCAGTTCATCAAGCCTCGCTTTCAACAGGTAATTGCAAGGCACGCTTCTTAAAGGCAAAACAGTTTGAAGAGACAGAGCAAGCATCAGACCAGACTCAGATACGGAAGAGATTTTGGAAATTACCAGACTGGAAATCTTAAATAACTAGGATTAATATGCTAAGGGTCTAATGGAAAAAGTGGACAACATGCAAGAACAGGTGGGTAATGTAAATTAGAGAGAGAGAAATTCTAAGAAAGTATCAAGAGGAAAAGTTAGAAATAGGAAACAGTGTAACAGAAAAAAAAAAATGCCTTTTGTGGGCTTTTTAATAGACTAGACATGACCAAGGAAAGAATCAGTGAGTTTTTAGAAATATCAATAAAAACTTCCTGTCTTAGTCTGTTCAGGGGGCTATAGTGAAATACCCATAGACCAAGTAGCTTATAAGCAACAGAAATTTACTGCTCACAGTCCTGGAGGCTGGGAAGTCCAAGGTCAAGATGCAAGCATGGTCTCATCCTGTTGAGGGTCCTCTTCCTGGTTCATAGCCAGTGCCTTCTCACTGTGTCCTCACGTGGTGGAAGGGACAAAGGATTCCTCTGGGGCCTCTTTTAGAACTCTGATCCCAACCATTCTCTTCCCAAAGGCCCTACTTCCTAATCCCATCACCCTTGGGAATTAGAACTAAACATGAATGGGGGGGGGGCTTAAATATTCAGATATAACAATTCCCAAATGAAATGCAAAGAGAAAAAGAATGGGGGAAAAAAGAACATCCAAGGACTGTGGGACAATTAGAAAAGGTGTAACATGCAGTTAATGGGAGTATCAGAAGAAAAAGAGAAAGAAACAGAAGACAAAGTTAATGACTGAGAATTTTGCAAAATAATGACAAACACCAAACCACAGATCCAACTTAAAGAATACCAAGTAAGATAAATACCCAAAACTCTACACCTAAGTATATTGTATTTAAGCTGCAGAAAACTGAAGAGAAAATCTTGAAAAGAAGCCAGAGGGAAAACACTACCCATTATAGAGCAAGCAGAAGAATTATATCAGACTTCTCTGCAGAAACTATGCAAGCAAGAAGAGAATGGAGTGGAATATTTAAGGTATTGAAAGTAAAAAACCATCAACATAGAAATCTGTATCTAGGGAAATCATCCTTCAAGCTGAAAAGGAAATAAAGACTTTCTCAGACAAATAAAAATTGAGGAAATTTTTCATCAGTACACCTGCCTTGCAAGAAATGTTAGAGGTTCTTAAGAGAGAAGAAATATGATATACATCAGAAACTTGTATATACATAAAGAACAGAACAGTCTTAGAAAAGAAATGAAGGTAATATTTTTTTCATATTCTTAATTGATCTAATGGAGAAAAAGTTTGTTGAAAATAATAACAATGTATTTGGCTATTATATCTTATGGATAACTAAAATGAGTGACAGTAGTGTTACAAGGGTTGGGAGGGAGGTATTGGGAATACTCTGTTATAAGGCATTTGCACTACCCATGAAGTGTTATTTTAAAGAAGAATTAGAGGGGCACCTGGGTGGTTCATTTGGCTGCGTGTCCAACTCTTGATTTCGGCTCAGGTCCTGATCTCGGGGTTGTGAGATCAAGCCCTGTGCGGGCGAGGAGCCTGCTTAAGGTTTTCTCTCTCCCTCTCCCTCTGCCCCCCCACCCCACCTAAAAAGAAAAAAAGAGGAATTAGATTCATTGGAAATGTATGTTGCAAACCCTAGGGTAACCACTAAAAACTTTTAAGGAAAAATATAATCGATATGCTAGCAGA